CATTCAATAATGTATATCGTTATAGCTACTGAAGGATCTTATTTTTAAATAATCTTAATTATTTTTTAAATATCTATATGTCTATTTCAGATTCTTGAGTTAATTATTGTATATTCCTATATTCATTTTAATGTTTAAGCGCTTTAGCTTAATTTTAGTTATATTTTGCGCTATACAAATTTTATAATAATAATAAAACAAAATATATATCCTCTTTGAATTTATCCTCAGTTATACAGTTTAAGATAACACTTAATTAATTTGTTCATAAATAAAAACACAACTGTTTCTTATTTACCAGGTATATCCTATATTTTGTACTTGTATGTGTATTTTTCTTTCATCTTTTTTTTTAGTACTAAGTACTCTACTCATCACAATTCTCAAATCAATTGACAAAATATTGTAATAATATCCACTGAACAGCAGATTTGTTTTTCACAATTTTAAATGTGTAAAGGCTTTTACAGAGAAAACCTGGAGGGTTTAAATGAGCCCATATTTTGAATTCCTTTACTGTCTGGCGAGAAGAGCTCGTTAAGCTACGTATAATTTAAATTTTGTGATAAAAATTGAACAAAGTGATAATTGATTCAAATAATTATCAAGTTTTTATTGATATTCCACATATTTTTCATATGATTACACGAAGACTTTTTTTAAATTTGGTAGGTAGCCAATTATGTCTCTTTAAACATTGATTTAAAATGTAAAGAAGCGATCTCTCTCTCTCTCTCTCTCTCTCTCTCTCTCTCTCTCTCTCTCTAATACGTAGAATTGGAATTCAAACGCAAAAATTCCTTAAACAGCTGTGTATTGAATCCTATTTGTCGTTTACTTTTTTTTAGTATTTGGTTTTGATTGAATGTACAAGTGATAATCTACTATAAATATATGCGAGCAAGTCGACATTTATCATTTATTTATTGGCTTCATACTGAATATCATTGAAGTTTTATCACTCAATAAAGTTCTTCATTTTACTTTTCAACATAACTGGATTGTTTTATTACCTGTGTTATTAAAGAGCAAAGACAGCTCCTTATGTAGAGAGCTGTTAAAATTACACTTCTCTTTGAAGTGTAAAATGAGTAAGATCTGATGTACATTAGTTTAAGTATATATTTCCTTACCTTATGTCTAATTTAAGTGCCTTTGATCACAGGGTCCCATCAGCGAATTCATTGATGCTCTTCATTGTTTGCAGCTAAATGTCTGACATCTAAGTGCTTGCTTGTAATCAAAGTTGTTTTGTTACAATCTTGTTTACATCAGGTACATATATTTCAAAAAAATGTTTAAGCATTATAGGGCAGTGCTGTATTATTACTAAATATTTAAGAACGCATTCACAGGATGAAACCCCGCAATCGCGGCTGGGATAAGGCTGTCCGTAAAATATCACAGTTTACCGGCCGTAGTATCTTCTCCGAACTACCTATGGCGTCATAATTGCATATGACAACGTCACGCAAACTTGAGCTGACATGACGGGGAGTGTCATAACTTTTACATACCGTTCATACATACCTTTCTTATGGCTCTTCGATTTTTTACATTGACGTTGATTTCAGGTGTTTTGATTGTTATTTTAAGCTTCAATGTGTTGCTATTTTGATGAACATTTGCAATATATGATATTTTTTTTCTCTTGTCTGATACCCACAATTTTCAAACAATCCAGAAAGAAAAAATGAATATGAAATGCTCCCTTTAACACATAAGAATTTATAAAGTATGTATACATTACACTAGCACAAGTTTTTTAAAAAAAAAAAAAAAAACATTGAGGATATTCTGTGTGAATCTATTAAAAGTATGTCCTCTAACTGAATTTTGCTCGGTGATTGTATGTAATTTATCCTATTTTGTATAAATTGCGACGAGAGTGGAAATGCCCCCTTGTGTGTGGGTAAGTTTAATTTCTCGTGAAACATTGTCTTAAGAACTTAAATTTAGCTTTGCCCCCGCACTTTGTATATACAAAAGAATACGATTAATTAACTTACGAAATAAACTCATCACAATATTGTTTTTTTTTTCTTTTTTTTTGTTTGTTTTGTTTTGTTTTGTTTGTTTGTTTGTTTGTTTGTTTTTTTGTTTTTTTTTGTTTTTTTTTTTTTTTTGTTTTGTTTTTTTTTTTGTTTTGTTTTTTGTTTTTTGACTTTTGTTTTTTTTTTTTTTTTTTTTTTTTTTTTTCTTTTTTTTTTTGCTTTTGTTTTGTTTTCATGTTCACTTAAAATGCAAAACAATAAAACTTTCCTTTGATATAACTGATTAAAGTTAAGTTCTCGTATTATATTTATGCCCCCCCCCCTTTTTTTAACTGCAGCTCAGGACCAGCTAGGTGAAATATGATATGACTTGCAAACAAGAGATTTTATCCATTAAAACTCCAAACTTAACCGCTTGCTCCTTTGGAAAATAACTTTTAAGACTGAAATGAACAATAAGATAATTGAATTTCAAGTCCATCCCATAAACCTTTTAATTTTCTTTCTTTTTTTTATTTTAAGGAAAAATCTCTATGTAATCTTGTTTACATGCAGAGAGTATTTTCTTTTCTTTTATCTTGCAAAATATATATAAAATTCACTTTCTGATGTTATACTCCTTCTATACTAGTAGTATTTCAAAGAGAAAGAAGGAAGAAAAGAGAGGATTTTTTTATCCCTCCTCAAGATAAAATAAAATTCTTTATGTAATAAATTGAAATTTGTAAATATCAGAATCAACATTATTACATATATTCCAAGGTTGTAATTTTAGTTAAGACCTTTTTTTGTCCCTGATTATTACATTAATTATGTACGATCAGATTTGTTTTATTTTAATGAGAAAATGCTATATAAAAAGTGGTCGAAGGTAAGAACAGTTTGCGACAAAGAGAAATTTCAATTCATACACCCAATTATGTTAAGACATATTAAAGGCCTCTAAATGATTCCAATTCCCTTTTTATTTACCTTGTTCTCAGGTCGCCTGCGTGGCGCAGTGGTTAGAGTGTTTGCTCTAGAGTCGCTAAGTAAGGAGGTGATCCTCACGAAGTGGGGTCGAATCCCACTGAGACACTGCGATACCGGTCCTTCGAATGAGACCATATAAACCCAGATCTCGTGTTACTTAGTTGCTGGGACTGCTCAAGTCCGTAATCGCCGAGTACAGGTCTAAATTTGCAGACTTCCATCGGCAAGTGGTGGTGTCTCAATATGAGTGAAACATTCTCGATGAGACATTTCTCGATGAGATGTTCAACAAACAAACCTTGTTCTTCGCCTCTTGATTTACGTTTCTATTGAACTAACAAAAGCGGAAACATTTATATCCGAATATTAACAAATAAAAAAAAATATTAACAGATAAAAAAAAATATTGGTTTAGTATCCAGGAGGTTTGGTGTAATAGCTTTGAGCACATGTTATTCTCTTTTTTTATTCTCATTTTAGGGGCAGACAGGGAGGGTGTGGGTTAATAGCAAATACGGAAGAAAAAAAACAGAGAGTTTTTATTATTATTATTATTATTATTATTATTATTATTATTATTATTATTTTATACATAAAGGAACAATAACCAACTTTTGAATTCCACCATCCCCTTCAGAACAACAGAATCTATTGTTTGGTATTTCGAAGCTTAATAATTAACTACAAACTTGCCGAAACGTTTAAATAGTATAGGTGTAATTGAAACTACGTTATACATACTTACAGAAAACTATATGTAAATATAAATATTGTCCATAAACGTTTTGTAATACTTAAAAATACTTTCAAGTGTAGCTTTCAATTTGCCCGAACTTTTAGCTGTATTGAAAGAAATTTCTAGTGCTTCCTGTTTGCATTTTATGCTTGAATTTTAGGGAGCATTCAGATGTCCTACAATGTTCAGGTCAAATACTGAAATGCATTTCATCCTTTAATGTTTTCTTCCTCTGTGTTTTAGTGTAAACATGATTAAGCTCCGTCAGTTGATTAATGTCCTCTTTAGGTTGGATGGTAAAGAAAAGTACAGGTAACTTTTTTTTTTCTTCTATAATGAATTCATCTGTTAAAAATTGAAAGTATGGATTTAAATTAGAGTCGCAGTTAGAGAAATATATAGATAAACGTCTAAAACTGATGATATCAAATATTTATTTTTACTTAAAATGACAATCTTTGTTTTGGAGGTTAGTACAGAGGTATACCAACACAAATTATCTTAAATTTATCAATAGAGGAAATCAAAAATGCTTTATTTTGCATTAATAGACATCATCTACATTTAATGAGAAAAAAAATCATGATAGTTTATGATGAAATTCATGTAGATTTTAATGCTTCTGTTCCTTTCTGGCCTTGCTGCACAGTTTTAATAATTTGAAGCAATCCATATTTAAATTCTTGCAACTGATTCCATCGGGGTTAACAGGGACAATCTATTTTAAGGACGTCGGGCACATGTGTATCTTGAATTATTTCTGGGATTTTGATATGGAATCCTGTAGATGAATTTGTTCTTCTCTTTGAATGGAACGGTAGTCTAGTATTGTAATAATATTACGCAATGTTAAAAATTAACAAATGGAAGGATGGGAATAAGCTATGAAAAAATATACCAACTAATGTACTGACTATTTAAACAAAAGACGAATCATTATTTTTATGTGTCTATTTCTTGAAAGTATAAATCACTGGCTTATATTTACGGCAAAATATCTTAGGTAAAAGCGTATTGAGGAGATATGTACATATAGAACAATAAATGTGAGGATGTCGCTAGATGTATATGATATGAATATACATGTACTTTCTTGATATGCTTAAATGATTAGAGCCACCGAAGATGGTATCATGTTATCTTCGTTGTGTCAAAAGAAATACTTGAATACCTTTCTACTATGTATTTTCATTCTCAAGTGTTAAACTGGATTAGAGTAAAAAAAATTGGTACGGTGAAGTTATGTTTTCTTTCCTGAAAATATATTAAATATATATTTCTTTCCTTTAGCTAACAGAGCAAGAAATGATCGGGAATAAAGAAGGACAGACAAGGGGAAATGAAAATGCATCTAGGGATTATGTAACTTTTTTTAAACTTAATTATATAAATTAAAAAAAAAAACAATGTATAAATAAGCTTTTTTTTTTGTAAACACAGCTGACTCTCAGGGATTTAAGAACATCATAAGTAAATGTTTAAAAACATTCTAGTTCGCGCTTGTGGTGTTTGTTTTGAAAAGGAAACAGATATAAATTATTATTATTATGATGTTTATTTTCCCATTGCAATCAAGTTTTCACAGTAAAGTTCACTGTCTTTTAATGAAAATCGGTGACCATGCTTGCCAAAAAAAGTTCAAGTGGTTACAGAAAATTGCACTTAACTCTCCTTAACATATAATGTTTTTTCTGTTCTCAGATTTTGTTGCCATGGGTTAAAATATGATAATGGGTTAAAATTATGAAAATATACTTTGCTAAGACATCTATTACAAATTCAGATTTAATTAAACGCAATTTGCTCCCAAACTGTGGATTAATATTTTACAATTGTTCATAAATATGTGCCAAAAGTAACTTTATTTGCTTTCTTGCTATGGAGAATTTGCTGTTGCCATGGAGATATATATCTTTACACTATTTCATGGTTTGCAAAGCAGTCTCAGATACATTTTCTTACTTTAAACTGGGTTTTTTTGTACTCTCAGATAAAATTTTTTTTGATTTATAATTTTCAGATTGTACGATTTTCCATTTTTATTTATCCAAACATCCATTTTTGTTGCTAGGCAACGGATTAGATTTTTTACAAAAAACACACCTTTTTGAATTTGAAGTCCAAAAAAGGCATTCCTCTTCTTTTATGCAAAATATATACAACTCCTGTATTACGCCAGAAGTTTGAGTAATAAGGCCTTGAAAAGTACCAAAATCAACAAAAATGCTGAATCAGCAAAAACGCAAAACATTCATATCTACCCATGTTTAGTACAGATATATCTCAAAATCTTATTTCTATGCAATGTATCGTGAAAACACTTTAAATGTTTATCTTTACGATAAGAATAAATAATAAGAAATTCTTAAATATTCACAATCAATTTCAAGCCCTAAAGATTAGTGATTTTTTTGTCTATACACATGGAAAATTGACTGGTTGCTAGGGAAATTTCTTTAGCCATGTTTCCATAGTAACCATGACCCAAAACTTTTTTTTTCATTTTGTATACATGATTTATAGCGCAAGAGAAATCTGTGTGGTGAAAATCATCAAATTCTGAGAACCTTTGTGATTCACTTTCAAACCTACTTTGCATGATTCTTACAGAGACTTGCACTTAACGTAGGTCGCGGGTTTGCTAACGTCATTAAAAGTGGGTACGCAATTTATATGGTTTGGGCGTCTTTCTTGTGCACATTTGATTATGACGTCACAATGAAAAAGAAATTTCAGTACATCGTTATGTAGCTATAACTTTTGTTGGAATTGGTATATTATTGTTATATTATTTAAGGCACAACTTATCACAAATAATGAAGGCTTTTTACGATTTGAATATATAGTCGATACGATATTTAGATATAACTTTGTTGGAAATGGTACTTTAGTGTAATATTATTTATAGAACAAACTGAATTTATCAAATATAATGAAGGCTTATTACGATTCGAATCCAACTGGAAGTATTAAAAAGCGTTTCATTATGTTTTATCAATCGCTCGGAATTTTCGCCTTGTCGGAAAAGTCCGCGAAATTTGCGATTGATTAGATATCACATGGTATCGCGAAACGATATAGGCACAAGTTTCAACTGACCTCTTTTCTTTTGAACGTATTTGAATTAACAGTTTGTTTAATTAACAGAGAAATCATTATACAAACAATCGCAAATACACCTATTACATTTAAAAGTTTAACCTTTATTTTTAAAAAGGACATTTTGAAAATATATTAAGAGGTTTATCACAAATTAAAAACTGCTAAGTTACTATGAAAATAAACTAATACATTTATTTAGCGACACTGACCTCCTGTAAGTAAACACAGGCACTTGGGATATGGATTCCCCTTTTCCATTTTTTTCTCTTTAAATCTAGGGTCGAGTCACCTTTTCCTATTTTTATATTCTAATACGGACAATTTACCCTTAGGCCGTAAAGATGCCCTTAGATGAGGGTGATTTAATCGAAATATTTACTAATCGGGGGAACATGAAATTAAATGGAAATATGAAACGAAAGAAGAATGTGTAAAAAAAAAAAAAAAAAAAATTATTGATGTCTGCATAGTTCATGTTTTCTTATGCTTTAGATAAATAATCATGCGAAGTTTAAGTTAAAGAAGTGAGTTAAGCGACGAGAAAATCTCTCTTTTTATGTATCAGTCGAAACGATCTATTTAAAAACAGCTTATAGAGACAAAGGGGTTACATTATCGATAGCATATATTACATGTTAGGATACAAAAATAGGAAAAAGGTGACTCGACCCCAGATTTAAAAAGAAAAAAAAAGGGACGCATTTTTATGTATCAGTCCAAAGCTATATTTTTAAAAACAGTTTAAAGAGACAAAAGGGTTACATTATTGATAACATATAGTACATATTAGAATTTAAACATAAGAAAAAGGTGACTCGACCCCAGATTTAAAAAGAAAAAAATGGAAGGGGAGGGGGCGGTCAATACCCCAAAGCGCCTGTGTAAGTAACGGCTTACAATGCTGTTATCTACTTTGCTTTCCATGTCCAACCAGTCGAATTAATGTTATAAAACAAAACAAAAGGAAAAGAAAACAAAACAAAAAGAAAAGAAAAGAAACGGTAAGAAAACAACATATAAAGAAAATACATTGAAAGAGAGAAACTAAAGGACTGATTGTCGATAACTGATTGAGATAATTTTCACTAATATGAGACATACAAAGAATATTAGAAGAGAAATGTCTAATAATCATTTCATTGCTATTGAATTATTATGATACGATTCGTGGGTCATATGAAAGCAAATAGACGTGAATTAAAAATATTTTAATTTGTTTTTCTGCTCTGTATACTGGGTCGATATTCACGACGTCAAGCGTGACGTCGCGATATCTAATGACGTAGTTCTTAAAAATGTTACATTTTGCGATATAAAAGCAAATATCTACATTTAAATTACGAGAAAAAAAACTCGAAGACATATTAATTTTTTTACATAGATTTATTTCAAGTCAATTCTATTTTAAGATACCAAAGGGGGAACAATTTCGTCTGCACCATTTAAAAGTTAATGATATTTTTTGAAAAAAAATCTTTCCTGAAAACGAGCCGAAATCGACGTTTTTTCTATATAATTCAATACAATAACGTCGAAAATGTTACTACAACAATGGCATCTTTGGAATTTAATTACATAAAAACGATGCAGACGAATTTTATAAAATTTTCAGAGAATGTAAAACAAAGGCAGATGAATCATATAACTAATTTTCATGGTATGTTTTCGGACACTTTTAAAAGGCCTGCAAACCCGCGACCTACGTTAAGTAACACGATAGACTTTTTCACGATCTCGGTACTGCTGTTTCGCAGAGCGATTTGATACAGTTTAGTGATATATGACGTAACAGCATTTGTTTAGAAACGTCATTTAATTATCAGCCAACTAAAACTTCGCCAGGAGATATGAATTTGTCCTGCAAAACAGCAGCACCGCATTTATAGTGGAAAGGGCTTGTCAGACAATGCTACTTATCGTAGCTACTGGAAGTGGAAGTGCCATGTAAAGGAAACAACGGTCTTTTTTTTTTAAAGAAACATAAACATGATTTGAGGATGTTCAATATGTAACATATATTTCTCGCGATAATAAGATGTTCCTGTCTTCAACGATAGTTTTTAAATCTAAAGATGTAGGACAATGACATGATTAATATTTATTTTATAGAAAAAAAAAAGATTATTGTTTTGCTTCTTGAAAATTAAATAAAACAGTGCAAAGAGATTTTACTCCTAATGTAAAAAAGCCCCAGGAATCCCATTGTAAAGTGTTTAGTTACTACATGTATATTAGCATGTTTGACACTGGACAAAGAGTATTTTGAGTCACGCACATTGTCTTCTTCTTCAATATCATCAACATTCCTCTTCTTCGTCTGTAATTTTTCTTCCTCTTATTTCTTCATAATATAGAAAAATTGTGTTTGGGTCTGGACTGTTTTTATTTTTTTTCTATATTCTGTTTTTTGCTTATATATTGTATATGTTACTTGTTCTTAAAAAAACAACAAACAAACAAACAAAATAAAAACAAATATACCCCCCCCCGAAAAAAAAATGTTAAAATAAAAAGGTATTGTTTTATGTAACCATTTACGTAAAACTAAATGTAAATGAACACTGAATAGAAGACGAACTATCCAATTAATTTTTATTCTTTTTTAATAGGTAGAACCACAAAACAAGTACGAACATCTGTCCTTTGAAACCCGGGACAATCATTCATATGAGGCAATGGTACATATCTCAAAAACTGTTTCGCATTTTTTATTCCAACACACTATTGTATTAAGACATGCATTAGTGCTCTATAATGGTAATTGTATACGACTTTTCTCGTCATTTCTTGACTTATGTCTCCATTAAAATAAAAGAGAAAATATTTAATCACAATCATCAAGAAAAAGGAAACATGTCATTTTCAAGTATGATTTCAAGATTTGATAAGTATAAAATTTGCATAATTTGATTTCGAAAAAAAAATATGTAAAACGAACGATAAAGTATCTAGTAAGGTATTTGTAATACTCCCATTCGTATTTAAATACATTTCTTTTTCACATTTTTATTTGAATAATTTGGTTTTTTTTCTATCTCATTTTTATATATTTTATTTATTTATTTATTGCTTTAATTCAAGGAATCTGAAGACGGTCATGGATTTGATCAGGTAATAAAATATATAACTTTTTGTGCGAAGAAATCTATCTACTCATTATTTATCTTTTACATTTATATGTTTATATTTGTCCGTAGCTGCTGCCAATTTATTGTTGTCAAGGAAAATCGTTCTGTTTTGGTTTTGTTCGTTTGTTTGTTTTTGTTTGTTCTTTTAATACTTATCTATTTTATATATGATATGATACTTCCTTTTATTCGATGCTCTCAAAGCCATGGAAATCTATTGCTAACAAAGGAAACTCCAGGAAATATGATACGTCGAAGAGGTATTTAAAAAAGATCATAATGGTCTTCCTCATCCTCGCTCTCATTACTGGACTCGCCACTATGACCGCACTCTTTAGTGTTGAAAAAAATAAAAGTAAAGGTAAGTTGTATTTTTTTCCTTTATTTTGTTAACTTAATTAATTAAACATATAAATATATGTTTTTGCAAGAAAATAAAATATTTATCATCGAATTCCTTAAGTTTTCGTATATACAAAAATTAAGAAAAGAAAAGAAAAACAGCTATACATAAATTTGTGGTCCGCAACTCATTCAATATGCATTTGCAATGTTTTAAAGACATTCAGAGGGTGTTATCATATTTTCGTAAATTCTTAGATTTTCTATATGCTGCATAGCTTTGATTTTTACTACCTAGTCATGGATTGCGTTCCGTATTTTTATATTATCAGAATGAGATCTTGAATATTAAACGAAAACCACCACACATGCAGTTCGACTTTATGACTTTATTATGCATTCCCTGTCGAAGCAAACAGACATTTCCGACAGTCAATATTGGAAAACTAAAATAGCTTCTCTTCCTAATATTCAAGAACTTAAATAGAAATATTACAAATAGAATGAGTCGATCTCCGAGAGTTTCATGGTTCATTGTAGCTCAGTCGGTATACGTAGACATATTATTATTATTATTGTTATAAGTATTATTATTATTAGGACCTTAAATGTTTTCCTTTATTTATCGATTCATTTATTTATTTGTTGATTTGCTTTTGATGAATTATAGATCGTGATTGGTTGTTGAAACAACAGGAAGGATACGCACAGGAAAGACTTAAAAATATAACTCGTGAGTTACATCTATATAAATGATACTAATGTCCTTTCATATTATCATAAGAATGTTAAAGTGATATATGCATCAAATGCTAAATTGTCTGCTACAGGACAAAAAAAAAAAACGAAGACGAAAAGTCATGTACACTTCATTAAAAAAAGAAATAATCTATTCTTCTTTTGATAGAACAAGAAGAAATCCTGAAGCAAGAATTTGACAAACTGAGAGAACAACAGAACCAATCAAACCGTAAGTCGACGTCTTTTTATTTTTCTGTGGTTATGAAAGGATTTAAGTATAGCAAAAACAATTAAAACTGGATCCATGAGGTCTAGAAAAACATTATACTATTGAACTGAATACTCCAAAAAGTTATAGCTATCTCTCCTTTGAGTCAAGAGTTTTGCATAGAGTAAATATTTAAGATTTCCTGCCACACAGCGTATCTTAACATGCATTATTATTATCATTATTAGTTCTTGCATCATGATATGTCACTTTGTATCGAAATAAAAAGAAAAAAAATCATTTCTATGAGTGTATGTTTCTCATGTTTTTCTTCTTCTTTTTTAAATAAGTAACAGCACAAATCGGTGAATGGATTCAATTCGAAACCAACAGTTACCTATTCTCAAGCAGTGCTCTGACTTTCCATGATGCATTGGTGAGCAAAATATGTTTAGTTAATAATGAAAATGGTAAAGATAACAAATAATGATCGATCTAAAAAAAATCTACAAACAATGCAAATCTATGAAGATGGCATAAAATACGGAAATTCCACAGGTGCAGTCAGGTGCTTAAAGGGAGAAAGCGTCCCCTATTAACCGGACACATACGCCGTAAGTCTATGGAATGATCAGATATACTGAACATTCGTAGTTATATTTAATACACAATGAGGTTATATTTGCTAAACCGTTCATTATAATGATCATAGAATTTACGAAATGCTGACTTTACACGAGGTTGTTGAAATCCATGTAACATCAACTTATCTGTCACTACTCTGCCTCAGTTAAAATGATCGTACTCTAACATGCTCTTGAGTATCGATTAGTTGGGAGACGTGAACACCATATACAGGTGATAGCAAAAAATCACTACAGTCATAAATAAGGAGATTTCAAGATGTAAAACCTGAATTCATATCGTGCGTCATTTTGTCTTACAATTTAGTTTTAAGCTGGCTCTTTTCGTCTACAGTTAGTAAAACATGCAAATATGAAATAGATGTGGCAGACTCTGTAATGTGTTTTCTTTCATATTCACTGGGAGATATCGAGTCAACGTATGAATGGAAGTAACTATTGTTAATTGATAAACATCGTCAATTTATCTCAATGTCGAGTTGAAGGAAACATCAAATGTTTTCTTCTTCTCTCGTAGAAGTTTTTGAATCAATATTCCTTGTGGATAACTTGTGGAAAGCAATGTTCTTATGAACAAGTAGATGTTTCGCAGTTATGATTTCCTAGACTAAATTCTGCATTTTTTAAAAATCTTACAATGTACTTTTAGATCAGCTGCAAAAATATTGGTGGAGATCTTCTTGAAAATATAGACGTACCGGACAGGATAGCAATTGAGCTAGAGTTAGTTAAACGAGGTAAATTTTCACAACATAAACCACATATTAAGCAATGTTCTCTGTTCTTTGTGTAATCAAGCAGAATACCAACACAGGCTTACCTGTATTTATTTATCGTAAGAGGCAGGCAAATAAATAAAAGGGCTATGACATTCATGTCTCTAAGGACTGATGTAATAGATGTAAGTCAACCTATCAGACAAAATACATATGTCAAATAGACAGACAATCAAAACAATTGTGAATAATCAAAACAAAACGAATTAAGAAAAAACTAATAGCTCCATAGACAGCATGACCAAAAGGTGTTTGACCTTGAAATTGGCTGGCTGGAGCTATAATACTGATTGAGCATGGGTAAAACTATTGCACAACGTCAATGAGTAGTTTCAATGTATAGACTAAGTAGCTAGAAGATCAAAACAATGTGTTTGATACTTACTCGATTAAACTGTTTGAATAAAATTGTATCAATTCAAAGTATCAGTGAAAAGGATTCAAGATTACAGAAAAATGCTTGATACTTGCTTAAAAATGTAAGATTCAAATTTGCATTAAGCTTAGATAAATATATTAAATAACTTAAATCCCCCCAAATAAAAAGGACTGTCTTCAACACAAACTATAATACATATAATTTATTTACAACTTCATCAGAAAAGATAAAAATAGAATGAATATTAACACAGCTTACAGAACAGTTTGTTTGCTTGTTTGCTTGTTTATTGTTAAACGTCCCTCTCGAAAATTTTTCACTCATATGGAGACGCCACCACTTGCCGGTTGATGGCTGCAAATTTATACCTATACTAGGCAGTCAGGGACATTGAGCATTGAGGGATCTTATTCGTGCCAGCACCTACTGCGACACGGGACCTCGGTTTATACGGTCTTTTACGGAGGATTGGTCTCCACGTGCCGCAGTGGATTCGAACTCGAGACTTAGGATCAGATCCTTACTATGTGACTCTAGAGCAGACGCTCTAACCACGTGGGCGACTCTTACAGATCAGAAATATGCAGATATGAAAATGTTCCCATACACAAGGCATGGGCAATGGAAAGCATATCCAGTCATTATCTAAAATTAATACATGATAAGGTAAAAATAATAGCAGATTCATTTGTAATTGCAAAGAAGAAGAACACTGGTATTATTATTATTTTTTTTTGTTTGAATAGGCAAATTATATATTAATTACAGGTAAGCAAATTATTATGAATGTATCTGTTAGTCAACCTTTTAGACAAATACACGTCAAATAGGCGGAGAAATAACCATAACATTATGTAAATAATCAAAAGAAATTGTTTTGGTAAAAAAAAAAAAAAGAATACCAGTACTAACACAACGACCACGAGATGTTAAAAGCTAGCTATTGGCGAGCGGGACAAATAATATTAATCGAACATAGATATTTCTATTAGTACTTACTGCTCAAGTGGATTGGGTAGATACGGAATAAAAACTAAGTAGATAAAATGAGAAAAGGAAGATAACGAACGGTGATCAATCAAAAAACAATACAAATCTATAAAGAGGGCATAAAACACGGACTCGCAGAAATTCCAGAGGTATGACCAGGTGCCTAGAAATAGTAAGCACCCCCTCTCGTCCGGACACACGCGACCTGACTCATATGTATTGATTAGACAGAGTCAAATTTAGTATAAAAGCAAAGGCCTAACAATTGGTATCAAGCACGTCAGCCAAAGTTATAGGTTGTATTTCAAAAAGTCATTTTAATGACCATAGAATTTACGATATGCTGGCTTTAGATAAGGTTGTTGATATATCTATAACATCAAGTTATCTGTCATTAGCCTGCCTTGGTTTAAAAATTTATCATTCTCAGAGAATGTTTACCGAATATGTTGGCAGACGTAAACACAAAAAAGGTACGAAATATGAAGGTAATGAACAGTAATCAAGCTCACAAGTCCATTGAAACAATACAATTGGGAGCAGAGCAAATACAGACCTTTAAAAGCACCAGAGGTGGGATCAGGTGATAGCCATTCCCTGTTACACCCGCTCACATCTGCAGTGTGCTCCTAATGATACACTCAAGGAAAAATCCGTAGACAATTCAGAAAAAAATGGCCAATCAATCTGTATGCAAAACGTCAGTCAACATTCGACTTGACGATATATTGTGTTTGCTGAAAAGTCAGTGAATCGACTATATAATTGGCAAAATGTTGACTTTAAGCGAAATTGCTGATATGCTTATATCATCAACTTATTTGTCAATAACCTGCCTTTGTTTAGAAATTTTTCGTAATTACAACATGCCGGTTTCTATCGGTATGAGAATTCAAAATCAGTTTGATTGCTTGGAATATATGAAATATATAAAACGGAAATTATGATTTTGAAGAATTCCCTGCTTAGAGAGGGAACTATGAGTATAAGCTGGGTCACCACTTGAAGAATTAAATCCATGTTCCCCTAAAATACAATTAAACCTTACAAACAAAGACAATGGTTTTACCTGCTTTGTCAACTTGGATAGTACATTTTTATTGTGTAATCCATCTAATTCTTTTTATTCACTTTTGTTTTACTGAAGACAGAAGGATGGATGATTTTAATGTTGCCCCTCAGCCGCTAAATGCGAGATTTCAATATCCATCTGATACTTTTAATCCATTCTGACAAAATGTCAAGATCTTCCGTTTCGTGTTTTGCCTACGCCTGGCGTTATCTTCCACGAAATTCATAACATTTATGAATGAAAAACCGGGTTTCCCTAAATTTTGGTTCTTTTAAATAGGTGATTTAAATTCCTCGGTAAAAGCTATATCTACTTCACCAGTAACACGAGTAATGACGTGTCCAGCACTACAGTTGTATGGTAAAGAAGAACATGAACCCGTCGAAGGATTATTTCCAGACTTTCATTATCTAGACATTGTAGGATGATTTTTGTAAATAAAAAGTCTGGAAGCTATAGTAAATGAATATTTAAAAGAAAAAATATACAAGGCGTGGACATTCAACTTGAAATATGGTGGAATATTAGACCATACCCTTTTGAAATTTAGAACATTACTTATTGCAGCGGAAAATTACAACATAAACGAAAGATAATAAAAGACTGTTCAATACTCATATTACTTTAAATTTAAGAACAGTTTGACCTAATTCAAAGTAAAACAAATAACAAATGCATCCGATAATCGCCTGAAATTGCTAGGAACTAAAAAAAAAGCTTAGAAAAAAAATATAGATTTTCTTCGTCATATTTGCTTTACATATCTTCTAACAGAAGATTTTACCATATTTATTTTTCTTAATTCTAATCCTTGTTTTTGTTAAAGCAAAATGTAACAATTATAGTCAAAAAAGCAGACGGTATTCCAAACGACATAAACATCAAATTTGGTAAATAAATGAAATAATGAAGATTTTATTATGTTTCTTTTTGAGGATTTAATTTTACATGGATTGGGGTGACCGATATCCTTCAAGAAGGTATCTATGTATATGAGTCAGATGGGTCCAGAGTGGAAGAGGGCAACTGGGCAGATGGGCAACCAGGACAACTAGGACGAAAAGAAAACTGTATTGTAGCACTAAAGGCTGATAATTGGAAGTGGCACGACATCAAGTGTAATTATTATTACACTTATCTTTGTCAGAAAACTAAAATCAGTTGTGACTAAAAATAGCAATCATATATATTTCTATTCAGAAAATATAATAATAATTCCTTTCGTCATACAAATTGTGAAATTAGGGACTTGGAAGATCTGTATTAAATGATATAAACTCTGGGAAGAAATGATAAAATATTGTGTTCTGTCATGAACGTTAAAGGATACCAGATTGTGTACACATTGATAATTAACGTAAAGTTATCAATGTATTGAGCATCGGGAATCTTTGAATAATTATTGAATAAAACTTCAATCAATTGGAAATTTTCTAGCATTCAGTTGGAGTAATTTTATACACAAGTGTAATGTCTTTTTATGGAAATTCGCACTTCGGCTAATATTTCTTTTTAGTCTTTAAGTTTGTTTGTTTTATTTTATTTCCACTTTCTTATTTCATAGGCATATAGTCTGTCCCTTCTTTCATGATTAATATTAATTTGTAATTGGATGTAAAACGAAGAATAAAGAAAACCATCATTTCATATCAATATATACATCCTTTAGCTCATCTGAGCCAAGAAAGCTTGCCTGACCAGGATTTGTGTCTTGCCCGTTTCTCTGACATCTATTAACCTTTCACATTTTCGTCTCCTTCACATGTACTAGTGGTCCAGTTTTAACCAAACCCTAGCTCCAAGCACAAGGAAAATAGGGTTGAATCCTATAATTTTTTTTTAGAACCATTGGGTCAAAAACAAAAAATATGCAATTTTTTGTGCATAGTTTTCGATCTTTTTTTTTTTTTTTTTTTAAAATCATAACCCCAGGCTGGGGTTTGGCATCGAAAAGGAGACTGAAGTTTGAAATAAGAATATGTAGATTACCAAAAAAATCATTAACAATCTTCACAAAGTACACAAGAAAAAAGATTATGCTAACTATTTTAGCTATCCTTCCATTTGATATTTATTCCCTATTGTGGCCTTGTCTTACAGGTACCCACTGGGGTCATGATTTGAAAAAAAAATCACTATTAACATAATCAGGAATACCTACAAATACAAATGAATGTAATTTTGGTCCTGTTGTTCTTGTGAAGAAAATTTTAAACTATTTATTACTCTCTTCTCTGTGCTGCTAACCAGTGCGTTTAACACATATAGGAGAAACATCGTTGCATGCCTTCACTTAAATTATCATGACATTAATGCCGGGTTGAAATGTATTTATAGGATATTCAATGTTTTGTAGTTGGATATGAAACAGGATATTCTAATATTTTCTCGAGTCCAAAGTACGAGTGGAAATTAAAAAAAATCCTGTCTCACGAGAAAAATAAATGCTGTATTCAACTTCCAAAAAATTGAGTGTTCTGTTTATTAAATATTTACTTTGCCTCTGCCTTTTTGCAAAGCAGTGTCGTAGGCTGATGCGTCATACAGTGTAGTAGAGCGGTTGAGACGTTATAGCTAAGTGATTGTGAAAATTGTAAACATGGATTTTAACACATATTTGGAGAATCTTTTCAGTCTACGCCAGTAATAAATGAATCAGACATATTGAGTAGACACACTCCTGAAGAAAAAACACTAATCCAATTTACCTAACAAAGTGAAGGGGGGAAAGCATTGTAAAGGCAGCGAGTCACGGAAAAAAGTAGAATAGATTTGCAGCCCCTACAAAATTTGAACGTCACACATCAACCCTTCTCTTCTTCCCCCCCCCCCTCCCCTCCCCTATACACACAGCCACTAGAGTAAACTTGTGAAAAATAATCTTATAAAACTGTTAATCTATAGACAGAGTGTTATTTTATATACATTATTAATGTAGGGACCATGGAAGCTTTGAGATCTTTTGAAAAAATTTTGAAAAAAAAGCATCAACCTTAAGAAAAGAAATAGCCAATAGTAGTTAACTTCATTTCAATGATTTTTATATATATATATATATTTTTTTGTGAGAAACGCATTATTTCAGGTAGTTAAAATTTAAACTAATGACTCCAATGTACATTTGCAGTAGGTGATCTATTAATATTATGTGTTTCGATTTTTTTTTCTATAATTTTTCATTAAACAACTCTATGAAATTTGTAATTATTACTGTTGTACGATTGCGAATAGAAAACAAGGCACGGGCCACAATACTCACCTGAGCATATTGGCTCGGAAAAGGCAGAAATCAGTTCAGTATTGAAAAGTTTAACGGCGGGGGGGGGGGGGGGTGAACTAAACTTACACTACCTCAGGATGCTTCCACATCATATTACTAATCACGGTTTTGCTCTTCTTAAAAAGATGAACTTAAATATTTTTTTTTTCCTTTACGTATTGCTATGTAAAATTCTAATCGCTTATTACTGCAAAATCCTACGCACCTAAATTTGAACAAATTTTAATCTACACTACTTGTGAATGCTTCTATATTAATTTGACTAATCATGGTTTTGCTGTTCTTGAGCAAAAGATTTTCTATATATCCTTATGAAAAACTTTGACTCTATGGTGTGCTCCCTCATCCCCTGGGGATCATAATTTGAACAAACTTGATTCTACAATACCAAAGGTTGCTTCTGTATAAATATGAATAATAATGGCTTAGTTGTTCTTGAGGAAAAGACTTTTCAAGATATCTACTGTGTAACGTATATGATCAGGTTCTTACAAGGGATATTTAGGTTTTCCTTTTGCTCTGAGTTAATGATTGGAATAATTATAAAGACCACTCTGTCTGAGGGTAAATCACACAGTACTTAACTTTTTCTCTGATCTAGAGACGAGGACTGGGTAAGGTACTACTTGCACTATTTCTCTCCTAAGTTCTTGTTGATAGATAGAACCGGATGTCTCAATTTTCTTCAGATTTACTACACCTAGGACTTAACATCAATTCCCTAGCATACTTGCCACTGGTGCTTACAACTTTAATACTATTATTTTGATTTTATCCTTAACTTCTTAAGTGCTGATTTAACAGCCAACTTCATCAGCTAGCTTCTGAATGCCTGACTTTCCAAAGCTTTGCCTTATATACCCTTTGGCTAGTCCGTTCCAAGGGTTGTCAGGTCATTCCACAATTTGAAGCCTTCAATGTATTTTTTGCAAACCATTACACCTACATATTCCTATTTTAAACTTTTGCCCCATCTTTAGTTTTGCTTGCACCGAACCCCAGGGGTAATGATTTGAACACACTTGATGACTTAGCTATTCTACACAAGCAGATTTTCAAAGATATTTCCTATATACTCCTATGGTAAACTTTGACCCCCTGTTGTGGCCCTGCCCTACCGCCAAGGGTCATGATTGGAACAAACTTGAATCTACACTACCTGAGGATACGTCTATATTAAGGTTCAACTAGGGTATACGGAAAAGTAGATCCGTAAAACCGAATAACATATTTCACATTTAAAACAAGGAAAGAAATAGTTTCCTTTATAAAACAAAAAAGCTAGTGTTTTGCCTTATTACGTCGAATAAATGCGTTTAAAAAAATAATTCACAAGAAGAGTTTTTCTATAAATGGTTGACAATTTGACACTTAACCTGTATTGTTATCTAAGGTCGACAGGTCGACAGTTGAAACCTAGTTGGTAAACTCTCCCTCAAAATTAAGGTCGACAGGTCGACATCAAATTGCGAAATCTTATCCATCACAACAAAGGTCGACAGGTCGATTGATTGATTGTATGTTGTTGGACAGGTCGACAGTTGACACCTCATTAGCGTATTTTCTCGAATCCTCCCGAGAGATTAGGGTTAGTCCTCGAACCCATCGGAAAGTTTAGGGTTAGTCCTCCAACCGACCTGAGAAATTAGGTTAAGTCCTCAACCCCCCCCCCCCCCGAGAGATTAGGGTTAGTGCAGGAAACCACTGAAGATAATAAACCGTTGACCTATCGACCTGTCAATCCGTTGACCTGTCAACCTGTCAACCCGTCGACTTGTCTTCCTGAATACATGTAGACCTGTCAAGCAAACAATCTATCAATCTGTCGACCCGTCAACCCGTCGACCTGTCGACCCGTCAACCTGTCGACCTGTTTACCTGTCGACCCGTCGACCTGTCAACCCGTTGACATGTCAATCTGTCGACTCGTTAACCTGTCTACCTGTCAACCCGTCGACCTGTCAACCAAACATTCTGTCGACCTGTCAACCTGTCTTCCCGTCGACCTGTCAACCTATCCACCTGTTTATATGTCCACACTTTTACCAAAAAGTTTCTATGCTACCTAGAATTTCTCCAAATTTTCTCGTATTCATTAGCAATGCACATTAATTCTTCAGCCCTTTGGCTTATAAAATTTTTTAACGGTACTACTTATCCATATATCCTAGTTGAGCCTATATTAATACCTCTAATAATGACTTAGCTATTCTACACAAGATTTTCAAAGATATTTTCTATATACTCCTATGGTAAACTTTGACCCCCTGTTGTGACCCTGCCCTACCCCCAGGGATCATGATTGGAACAAACTTAAATCTACACTACTTGAGGATACTTCTATGATAACATGACTAATCATGCTTTTGTTGTTTTCGAGAAGATTTTCAAAGACATATCCTATATATTCCTATGACAATCTTTGACCCTGCCCTACTCCCAGGGGTTATGATATGAACAACATTGAATCTAGAGTACGTAATGAAGCTTTCAACTATGTTTCTTTTTTTTCCAAGTGGTTCTTGAGAAGAAGATCTTTAAAAGATGCCACCAAATTTTCACGAATTCTTAATTATCTCCCCTTGAATGAGGGCATGGGATTTCCTGAGAACAAAATAAAATCCCTTTCAAACAAGGATGCATTATAGCAATTTTGGTTGAAATTGGCCCAGTGGTTCTTGAGAAGAAGTCGAAAATAGAAAAATTTACAGACGACGGACGAAAGGACAATCTTTGATCAGAAAAGCTCACTTGAGCCTTTGGCTCAGGTAAGCTAAAAAACCTTCCTTGTTCCAATTATTGATTATCCCTCACCCATACTTCGGGTAACATTGTTGTAAATCTACGGGTACTTAAGCCTTTAAGTGTATCCTGTGATATTCTTCCAATAGATGTTAATACATTTCATTTTTTCTGGAACTTGAGGTTTTACTACCTAAGAATCATTATAAATTTTGAAAAGTAGAAAAGTACATTTTTTGTGTGCATTTTTTTTTTTTTTTTTTTTTTTTGATCGATTTATGCCCAAAGTAACTCTGTATTTCATTTAAATAATACATGCATTTCTTGTTTGTGTCTTGGTAATCTTCTAGATTGAAATATTCTTTTTCCATTAATAAAAGGACTTTGTTACCATTTTTCGTTTAATAAAATCACTTGGCGTTTGCTTAATTTCGATTTATGGGATATAAAATACGAGATATACATGTAAGAGATGAATATCTGTTGACAGCTCTAATTTAAAAGGTATTCGAAAGCTCTAGAATGCAGTCCAAATATATCAATACAGCTAGTGTTTTTTTCTTTCTTTCTTTTTTTTTTATTTGTAATTTGTGTACATAAAGGCTTTAATTTCTATACAGGACTCGAAGATTTCCTGGAAACATGCATTTGGGAAACGTCAAAAAATTGGTTAAAACTCTGTTTTATTACAAGATTTTCCTATAAACAGTATTAACTAGTTGGTCCGATTTTATTTCATGCCTCCTCATTTTTATCAACGGATTAAACATTTATTTGGATTTTTGTCTTTTAAATAAACTCTGTTATTTAAAAAGACACAAGTAAAGCAAAACTAATATGTAATCAAATATTGAAGAGAATATATTCAGATAAAAATTACCTATAGTCATTAATATAGACACACTCATGACATAACTAAAGTCAAATATTTCCACAATCTAAACTAAATCAAGTATGCCCTAATTAAAATATTTTATCTTAACCGTAAGTCTCTATTATTCTCTCTCTCTCTCTCTCTCTCTCTCTCTCTCTCTCTAACGATTTTTATTTCAAAATCGATTCCTTGTTTTAAAATAGTGTTAGCTTTCTTACAAACACTACCGAGTTTATGAATGCTTGGGAAATCCCTTGTCAGTTATTTATTTTTGTGCAACAAAGCAATAATGCTAAACTAACATATACTTTTTTAATGAATATTCTCTAATATGGATGGGTGTGATTTATAACCCTGCTGAAAGCATCTATCAATTTGAATCTAGTAGAAGTACAGTGTTTCATATTCAATTTGATAGATGCCTTCGGTAGGATTACTGTATGTTACACTCATCCATATTAGGGTTTATCCTTAAGAAAAAAGGTATATGTTAGTTATGAATATGATAATAAATTCAAATGTATTCCTCTGTCTTATAGATGAATGTCATTACACGAGTAGAGGAATTAATATGTTTACGATGGGGCGAGCAAAGTTGTTTGTTACGTATTCACTTCGAATAAAACTTATATCTATCTCTTCAAACCGAGCGAGACATTTGGAACGGCTAGACTGTGACGTAACATGACATCGCATGTAAGTTGCATTTCCATAGCAAAAAAAAACCATATAACTATCTCGCTGCAAGTAAGGGTTTTTTTTTATTGGTGAACTTTTCTTTTTCGTTTTTGGAATATAATGAATGCATTCTTTGTACTTCTGCAAAATCAAACTATTTAAACATACCTTTAGTGACAAACAAAGAAAATATCCTACTGTGATGAACATCAATTTTGTATTGATAGTTTCTGAAATGATTCTTTACATCCCCTTAGGAAATTTTGAAATTTAAAACAAACTTAAATTTAAATTTAATTTAAATTTAGAACAAAATTAGGAGGAAAATGTCAGTGAAATTCATGTTTTTTTTCCTTTCCGTTGATTTCTAAAGAAAATATTTTTACAATCAGGTTGTGCAATGTACGTGTAAGGCGGTACACATTTATAATGGCGTTGCATTTATTCTAGAGTAGCTCAAGGAAATTCATCTTGAAAAGAATTCGTTTAAAGCACTTTTTCATAATTGTGATTCTGATGCCATTTATACTTGAAATGTTTGCTTATACAATATAAATGTTTGCTGATATAAAATAAAATACTACTCCGTCAATCTCTGATGATAGTCAAAAACTTTACTTTCCAAAAATAACACTGGAACCTACTGAGCTTGAAACTTTGCTAAAAATTGGAGGGTCCTTTGGTTCAAAACTGGTGACCTCTACACTGATAATACTACCACCATGGGTATCGTGGTGGAATTTAATAGTGGCAAGATCGTATGGAGATATGTTTTCTAGAATTCCATAACCCTGGGCGGCGAACTGGTCTCGAGAATGCTTAGGATACAGGTTCCACGTGGCAATGCCGTATTTCAAGTCAATGATCCCCGTAGTAGAGTTTAAAAAGATGTGTAAATCTCCGTATGCATTGTTATGGTAATGTCCGACGTATTCCGATGATGACCTCGAAAGCGTGTTCGATTTACTGATATGGTGACTTGCACTGGGTGTCAGTGAGAACCATGGTTTTGGAAAAGAACAAATTGTGCTAGAATTTAGCCATGCATCTTCCCCAAGTGCAATATCTGCTAGGTAATTGTGAAGAAGAGTCCGAAAAATATAGTCGGAATCTTGTCCATTCATAGTCGTAAATATTCCAATATTCATATCCGGTATGAGGGTTACTAGAGACGAAAATCCAAGTATTGTTCCGGTATGGCGTAAAATCTTATATTCTAGAAAAAAGAATTCCTTCTTACTTTCTTTTTCTTTTCCAAATGAAAATAATAATACTGTAACAATATCAATGTATTCATAAGAATAAGAAAATCTACTTTTCAAAAAAAGTTTTTAAAAATCTGTTATTGTAAAATAATCTGTGATTTGAAGCTATAACAGCCTGCTTATTTCTCTTTCAGAAAAAAAAAAATGCATTACAGAAAAAAAAAACGTTCATAAGGAAGTCATTGGGACCTCGAATTTTGTTTTCTTTTAACCGATAGTCTTTATATCCGTACAAAAAAAAATGAAAAGTCGTCTGAGAGATTTGTAAATACTTCCTAATAACCGAGATATACTTATGAACGATATTTTTCATAACGAAGTTTTTCTGTTTAACATTATGTGGCAACACAAGAATTAAGATATATAAACACATTGATACCTCTATAGTATCCATTTCGCCATCCTAGAGCATAATTATTCTCAGTAGTAGTGTGAGGAACCCTGGGTTTTGAAAAATATTCACTTATTCCAGAGGAAGATATGGAATTCCGAGCCTTGTACGTGGATTTCAATGTTTCCTCTTGCATTACACGGCTTCCATGTTCGTTCAGTCCACCACTGAGATGAAATTTCATCCACTTTGCCATATCATGAGCATTACTCATCAGGCATATTGAACCGCATAGTTTTTCCCAAGAACTACAAAAAATCAAAGTAATGCTGCCAGGAATTTTTCAAAATTTCGTACTATGGTTCTGTACGAAGTCTTTAGAAACGTCTTTTATTTTTTTAAAGCAAAATGACTTTACTGTGATTAGCAGGTCATGCAGATTTATCACTGCCTCCGTTTTAAGGGTTAAGACCTTTTTTTCTAAGCTAAAACGATAGAAATCACGATTCAGAAACCGTCTATTTTGAATAATTTAATATACCGATCTATTCTTCAGGTAAATTTCTTACCCAAGAAAACCTGACTGACATTTATAACAAAGAGTGTCGTGAGTATCTTTTCATTATTTTGATTCCTTTGTACAAAGTGATGTTGCTTGTCCTCTGCGAAAACGGCAGTTTAGCAATAAAAATTATAGACAAAAATTCATTGCATCGTCATTAATGCAAGGTTTTGCAGGATTAAACCATACCAACCAGAAAACCTTACAGTGACTGAAAGTTTACTGAAATTCGGTTTCAGACATTTCAGTGACTATTCAGTTTATGGAATGGCGCAGTCTTATCCTGTGTTTATTGATAGAGGAACTTATTGGAAAGGAAATAATCATACAAATTATATTCAGATTTAATGGAAAAATTCTGATAATTAACATTTTATGATTTCTTGAATTACCGTTGAACTCACTTGTAAAGGACCGAGGGAACAGGAACTGTTGATGATTTTGTGACGTCATCGATGTAACCCTTGGCGACGTGATTCGTGCCCTTTGTTTCCGAAAAGAACGTAGAAGAATGCATTCCAAGGGGTGAAAAAAGTTCTTGTCGAACCAGATCTTCCCAAGGTTGTCTACCTATTTTCTCAGAAATTGTTGTCGACAGTCCAAAGGCGATGTTTGTGTATGTGTAAGTTTCTCGGAAAGGGTAAACTGACTTTAGATTCTTTAAAACACTGAGAAAAGTAAAAAAAAAAAACAACTCAATCTATTATTTTTTTTTTTTATTGCAGATATGGTAAATTAAACCTGCATGATATGGTTAGAAATAGAGAAGAAAGAAACATGTCCATATGTTATGTTAAAAAGTGCATAATAATGCATTTATCATTGAACGACCAATCCAAATGAAGGACCAATCCAAATGGCCAAATTATTATAATTTCTAAGTAAAAAACTTGTCCTTGTTTGTCTAGTTCCATAACTTTACTTTTAACTTGTATTGCTTGAAATTTACTGAAAATGTGTTGCCATACCTTTGAATTTATATGTAGGCGCAATTACGCACGATGAATAGGATGTGAGAACATGCATGAAGATCTGCATGTCTTGATTTCTGTTACTGTTACATTTTATTGCATAGACCCCAAAAACTTTATCTTGCAGTATCAAAGCTTGTTTTTAAAGACGTGAGAAATCTTTCATATAACATGCCATTAACCCTTTTATGGGGATGTATTTTAAAGAAAATATTAATAATTTCAAGTGTAAGATATATACGCCATGAAGGTTTTGGCTTGATCTAGTATACTGCACTGTGCATTTTGATGTTGCACTATATAAGATTTTTTTAGGGTTAGAGCTGGAAGCAGTGGAGAGTTATGAAGGCATCTAACACAGGATGAAATTATGTTATTCAGTTAACCGAAAAGTGGCTGGTAGTCTACTAAAAGGTGACTGAGCTCAGTGACCTATCCGGACCTTTCAGTGACCATTCAGTTGACTGAATAGTGTAGGTTCATCCTGTGCCAAATATAAGTAGCTGTATACAAGATAATTTGCTTGCCTTGGGAAATTTGTTCTGTTCAGTTTTGGATTCAAACGTAGGTAGTTGTGTTTAGGAATGGCGAGCGCATGTGACAAAATGTCCCGGATGTTGGCATTCTCGGTCCTGATTGTGGTTGAAAATTTAAAACTGCTATCATAGAAACTAGTCAGATGTGAGTAAAGGTTGTAGCTGAAATTTTAAAAAAAATATGATGCAATTATAGTTGTCAAAATAATATACTCACATGTAATAACAATACAATACATATAACATTAACTAGCACACTGAATTTCGCATTTCACATAAATGTATTTATATGACAGAGAAAAGACCTAGAGCTTTCGCATTGATGATGTTTCTTTCTCATATACATGTAAGTCATAAAACACTGTCATCCTTTCATGTCTTCATTGATTTGAGAAAATACATATATATATTATAGCAATATCAACTTTGCCAGGCATTGCTAGAAACATTTGAATAAAATGAATGTTAATGAAGATATTCAGGCTTCCATGTCTTCATTTATTTGACAAAATTATCTTATAGCAATAACAACTTTGACAGACATTGCTAAAAGCATATATAAATAATATGAAAGTTAATGAAGATATTCAGTACTAAATATAAATGTTAATGTGCAAAATAGAAAAAAAATATTTGTAAATACTAGCTTTGAAGTTTCATGAAGCTGTTTTGCCAACAATGTTGTAGAAACCGCTTTAGTTATTGAAGCAAGTCGAAACAAAGTGAATTCTGTGACAGGCGTTCCTGTTTGTAGGTCAGCCAGTCCGTAACCTTTGGAAATTAATACTTGGTTGTCCTTGACGACTGCTACACTCAGTCCAGGGACCCGTGGGTGACATGCTAAGGCCTAAAAATGATGAAAAAATTGCACTTTGCAACCTCCAAAAAATGCATTTCTACAGTATGTCATGCATCGGACCTCAAATTACAGATCCTTTATCTTAAAGATAGAAGTGACAGTAATTTCAGTTAAAGTATGTTTCTTATTTATTTATCAGATTTCTATTCACCTTTTGGAGCACTGGGTCAACTAGGCTCTCGAAATTGGAGATCGGCGTAATAATTTTGTAGTCCATGATCAGAAGCGTCAACCATAGCAGACTTTTCATAATGCTTGTCCGTGTTCAAACCAAAACAACTAAATAAACACGTTTTGATGAACGTTTACGACTTTTGTTGAATCTCGTAAAATATGGCGACCGTTCTAAATCGCTATCACTCTGTATATGTAGAATTATTGTAAATATAGTCTTATCTTACTTCAGGAATGAATAAATGTACTGCACAATAATATACAAATATGCTCAAACTAGGGCATATTTTTATAATTTTTCAGGCACAAAAATTATGGACCTTCCAAAAAAATTGACAATAGCATGACATTTTTCATGATTTTAATGAAATCAAAACCGATCTATTTTTTTTATTATTATTATTATTATAAGATAATGGTAATGCTGCAATCTTCACCTAATGATAAAAATTTAAAACTTGTGAATCTTATGGTACATGTTCATAGAGATAATGTCCTACTTAGGTTTCTTTTGCCAAAAAAGAACTTTTCCTGTTCTTCACATGACTTTGATTTCAATATTAAACAAAGTACATCTTGTATTTACATTGTATATAAGTATTGAATATAAATTTTGAATATAAGTATTGTATATATTAAGTATTGTATATCAATATTGTATATGTTTTGTATATAAGTATTGTATTGTATGTAAGCATTTTATATGTCAGTTAAAACAGAATTAATGCTACAACAGGACAGCCAGACATTATGTCATCAAGTCATGGGGTAAGTTAAGGGTCATCAAACCTCTGATAAGAGAGATAACTCTCAATGAGTTAAATGACCGTTTCTTCATAAATAAGTCAAGTTAAAAGACAATTTCTGCCAATTTTCTGCAGCAAGGATTTCCAGAGTTTTAAGCATTTTACTTATAAAGTATGTTTCTTTTGGAAAATCTGTTGTGTAACCCATCCGATCATTTTACTCAAACCCAGAAAATTTTATCCCACGAAAACATGTCAATTTACAGAAAGCACAATTTAATATAGGAGAATAGTGGGACGATCAACCTAGATTAAAAGACACAACACAAAAACAAAAATGCAGAAAATGTGTTACATTTAACAGAAGAGTGATCGATGGCACACGAATCAAAAAAGAAAAAAAATATATGTCTTTACCTGAAAACTTCATAACTGTACCATCCGTACAATCAGTAGCATTTTGTTCACTTCTATATCTACACGTTGATAGCATCCTGTCCTATATCATAGAATATTTAACATAGCAATAAGCCCCAAAGAGTAAATAAAAAGTCGGCCCTGACAAATTTTCAGTTTAAGTACCGTTTTGGTTGTGGCAGTGTTGTTTAACTAAAAGATAGATTTCTTTCATTGTCTTTGTGTGTTATTGAATTACAGTTGCAAAACAGTGAGAACTTAAAGATACATACCACAAACCAATTTTCTTATATTCCAAACAGAAGACTTACTAATTTTTTTTTTTTCCAACATTTTTTTCAGTGAAAATCTAAGTAAGAAATTTAAACTGTGTAAAGTGTAAAAATAAACACTTGAAAATGAATCCAAAAACTTGATGATGATAACACTTCATTCACTTCTAAAATTTAATTTAATTTAATAAATGTAAATTACAACCAGAGATTTATGAAAGACGCCGTACATCTGATTTATCTACGGTATATAAAAATAATCTACCATTAATCTTTGAAAACAGAACATCATTAGAATGTGATTCAGAATACTCTAGAAAATTGGTTCTGAAATATAAATATATATTCTTTTCATTGAATTTTACATTTCCAAAACGAAAATCTGTTGATATATATCTAAATATACGATTCTATAAACTTTTCTATATAAAGTTGACTAAATAAGTAATGTAAATGTTGATCTTGAACAAACTTTAAATCTACATCACAAGATGTCATTTGCAAAATAATTCAACTGGTGATAACCTTTTTCCTATAAAACTCTTCTGTACATTGTACAATTTGAACCAACGTTTTGGTTTTACTTTGGTTCCTCGAGTACACATTTAGAAACCATTTACATTCTTTATAGTTCATTTCGATGTTTCAAAATTTCAACTTAGTAATACAATTTTTCATTTTTTTTAAATGGATAACGATTTTACCTCAGGTAGGTTCTGTCGTGTTTTTTTTTTTTTTTTTTTAATTTTTTAATTTTTTTTTTTTTACCTTTGTGTTAGTTTTGTTGAGCTCGAAAGAGTTGCAATTGGTTTAGCTATTTTGGAGATATCAAATGTTACAAAAACAAAAGATTGACACACAAATGACAAAGATAAAAGATACTAGACAAGGTTTTCTAGCATTCAGCTTACACGTAGGTGTGCTAAAAACTACTAGAAACAAAACTTAATATCTGAAATAATGACCAGTGTCTTTTGAAATGAACAAGATTTTCAAATGTGTCTAAGTGTACCGCTCAGGAATTGAATATCGGTTTTAAAAATAATCACCTAATTTTGAACTATTCATAGTCGCCCAAGAAACTTAAAAAAAATATATAAACCACCGGCTATGACATACGTACTTTTACTTTCATAAGCTAGTTTCGACAATATCATTCTAAAATCCATTACTTATACAGGAAAAATTCTATTATTAAAAATGAATCTTGTTTGAATCATGTCAAACCTATCATTTCGTTATTCTTTTCACTTCTGATGAAACATAATACCAACACCCATATTTGAAATATAACAACTACAACCTTACACCTTTCTGAACCAAAATTCAGTTCTATAATTAAATTTATTTGTTAACAAAACAAATTAACTTCTCTTTAGGATCGGTGTGTTATAATCATGTCAGTGCTGAGAAATTCTATCACAATACCTCGAAAACTATCAAAAGGAAGGTTTTATTTCCTCAATCTGTGCTCAATCAACGTCAGAAGTCTTGAATGGTTACACATTTATAACAGATTATCTGGGCTTGTTGCTCACAGCTATTAACGGAGTCTGCAGCTAGTGCACATCGCTACACTTTTCATATATTCTCGAAGAGAAAATTACTTGACACATCTTAAAGTTTTGGTGATAAAATGTCAAACTTAAGTTCTCAATCAATCATGAAAATTAATCAATTAAACTGAATCGTGCAACGCATGCTACATACAGGGACAAAAAAGAAGCGTGGCCATTAGCAGAACAGGAGAAATAAATTGTTTATAATGAATAGAATTTGAAACAGCTTGTCGTTCAGCAAGTTTGCTGTATTTATCAGCTGTTGATCACTTTAAACAGTGATTATCCAACATGAACAAGAAACACATGATATCTCAGTCCTAGATGATTAATGGAGTAAACTTTTTTTTTTGGGGGGGGGGGGGGGGAGTTGTCTTTTATTATACTATCACCGGGGAAAATAAGTGTAAAACTTTCCGGCAACAATGAAACATAAAAATGCTAACGATGGAATAGCACTTTATTTTAAGCTTAGGTCAGTAGGATGAATTCTGGAAATCCAAAAATTACACCCAAATAATCCGAAGCCTAGGACTTGACTGATTAACAATGTTGCATGTAACATATAAATAATAATCATTTCAAACAAATGCTCAAAAATATACACCATTTCTGACAATCTTACTGTTAAGTTTAGGATTCCTTTGGTTGGTGAAAAGTTTTTAATTAACGACTGATTCTTCTCATATTCATTACATTTTATAAAATAATCAAAGTTTCACACATTAAGAGAGACAATATCACTAAGTGATGGTATTAATAAAATCAAGTTCGATTTTCTTCATCATGGACAAAAAAATTATAGAGGATCTTTTTATAATATTTCTATCTAATACTATAATACTATACTATACCAGGTCTATAAGATCATTCTATCAAAGTGAGGCATTTTATCACAAACAGATCTGATATTGTCTAATCCTGATTTTCTCTTATTTCTTAAAATTTCAAGAACTTTATTTCATTTTATTTTCATTGAGTCGCTCGCGTGGAGCAGTGGTTAGAGCGTTCGCTCTAGAGTCGGGAAATAAGGAGTTGATCCTTACGTCGCGGGTTCGAATCCCACTGTGGGACGTGGAGACCGGTCCTTCGGATGAGACTGTATAAACCGAGGTCCCGTGTCGCAGTAGGTGCTGGTCTGTTTTCATTTCTATCAAAAATACTTAAAAGCCACAGTAGAGGTTCAGTATCACATAAAAGAAAACAGACTGTAGGAACTCTTTAGTGCGAGGAGATAAACAATTACGTCAAGGGAGCCATATTTTGAACGGAGATTTTAGTGAATGTTTTTATGGTGGGATTTATATGCCTAGACGGTAAGCAATGTGAAAATAATAGTGACAGAGAGTTAATTAAACTACTAAATGACTTAATTGAAGCGAACGGCAGTGTCGCTTAGGTGAATAATTCTTGCTATAGCCGGCCGAAGTTGGGGCTGAATTCCCAGACATGAATTATGAAGGACTGTCCCGAGATTCGGTGGGCGTCAGACCAAATATCTAGCCCGGCCGAATCTCCACCGAGATTAGGTGCTGGCACGAAAAAGATCCCTCACTGCTCAATGGCCCTGAGTGCCGAGCATAGGTAAAAATTTGTAGCTCGCCACCGGAGAGTGGTGGCGTCTCCATATGAGTGAAAAATTCTCGAGAGGGACGTTAAACAATAAACAAACAAACAAACAAACAAATTTTCATTGATTTAATATATTCAAGACTGAGACATATATGGACAAACTAAACGCCTGTGATCATAACTATATACATAAAAATATTTACAAAATATATGGACCGTTCTTCGTCAATTGGCGAAATATATCCCAC